TATGGTAATCCTGAGGTCTGTTGCTTTGCAGCCATGAGTAATGTTACCACAACCTCAGCAGAGGCCACCATCAGAGTCAAGTGGAAATTTATTGTCAGTCAAATATACATACACCACTAGCAACAACAGTCCTTCTCAAGACAACTGACCCTCCCTGTCACAATCACACTACAAAATCTCACTGCAAGTTACCCCCAGGTTCAAACCATTTACAGTATTATTCATACCCAACTAAGTTACTTTATCAATGTTCAGTAAATTGACTACTCATGTCTAAGATTTTTATTGTTTGTTAATCAGTTCAACATTGCTCAGATTACTTTTCCAATAGTCTTTAAAAGTGGAAGACCTACATGTAGTAGGAGAAACTTGATCATGCAATACACTCCTTGAAAGCCAACTCAACAAATCAATGTCCTTGCAGCTCATTTCTTATATTCTTTATGCAGGATTTGTGTTACCTTTGAAACTGAAGAAATCATATTACTAATTGTTTGATTCATGTCTCATAGGGGGCTCATAGGGGGCTGGATTGCAGGTTGGGCAGGCCAGTTGGGTGTTCTTGCACCTTGGAGTGCAACTGCACTTACAGTCTCCAGGCCCCTCAAGCACCTACACATAGCCTCCATTTGCAACATGGGCATTAATTCTGTTTTACAACCTCCAGTGCTCTATGTTCAATGCATACTTTCTGAAATTTAATTCAGTTATGTAAAAACATTTCTTTTGGGTAAATGGGATACTGCATGGTCTATTCCAAATAATCCCACAAAAATTTATCAGGTTTCCTTGATAGTGTCCTGACACCCATTTTCTTTCTGAGGCAAAAATAAGTTCTCAGAGCAAAGTACCATGTGTAATGCCTTTAAACATATTATTTACTCTGGGTTAGTTTTCATTGTTACTATTTTGTTAATAACAAGATACTAACCCAAACAATCCTCTTGTGTCAGCAATTATAAACTTAATTCCTCTTGCATGACAAAAGTCTCCAACCCAAAGTTGTTCTTCAAGAGGAGATTGTGTCAGCACTATGACCTAGACAAAAACATCACCTGGTCAGAGCTTTAATTACTGCAGTTAAAAACAGAGTCTTCAAAAGCTAAGAAAACATAACTGTGGCCAAATTGAAGATCTGGACTTGTTTAAAGATTGCAAAATCAAGAGTTCAACTTTATAAAAATTAATAAAAAGCACCATTTGAGAGATTAGTGGTGAGTTCAAGCAGATGTATGAAAATTCAGCAAAGTGCTCATAACAAAAGGGCACAGTGAACCAACTTAAGTGACAATGACCATGTGTTGTCTTACATAATGAAATGATCATTGTAGAATTGTCACACATAATTAATAAGAATAAATTATTTCCTAGAAACAAAACCAACACACAATATGACACTCACAAATGTAACAAATCATGCAAAATCTTAGCAAAGACCTAATTGCATTGGCATACAACAATATCTACTCTTATGTATCTTAATGCATGCAATTGTACGGAAACCAAATCCTCAATAACTGTATAGGATTGTATATTGGCCTCACTTTTTATGATAAACAAACCTGAAATTTTCCTAAGAATTCTTCTGTCAGTTGCTCAGTAAAAACAGACATGTTCACGTAGCTGTTGAGCTCTGAAATTCTGCTCAAAGACACTTCCGCTCTATTCTTGCCAATGTCCTCAGCTTGAAGAAAGAACTTCATTGCACCATAGGAAAAACACATACCAATCAATTTAATAATACTTTTAAATCTTTGTCTTCAGAGTGTGTTAAGATTGACAGCTGTCATGCTGTCAAGTAATTTTATTGGATTTTACAAAAAGAACAAGGTTTCAGCTTTAAAATTTTTCCACAAATTCTGTTCACCGTTTCTTATCAGTTTTTTCTCAGTTTTTCACCTTGTATTGTATTGTCTTATGGTTTAGGCTAAGTTAGCATTTGAGTCAAGTAGCCAATCTAGCCAGAGCTTTTTCCAGTTTCCATAGCATGAAGCAACTTGGAATATTAATACTCCCTTCTGGATGGGGTGCCAGTCCATTGCAAGATTAACCCCCCTTACTTCCCTGCAATTTTTGCTGGTACCCAATTATACTCCTGAGTGGAGGAGAGGCACTGTGAGAATAAAGTGTTTTGCCCAAGAAAAAAAAGCACAATGACTTGTTAAGTCTTGAACCCAGGCCTCTGGATGAGCAGTCTAGCACATTAAGCTCTTAGCCACCATGTACCGCAAGGATGATTAATCAGTAAATGTTAGAGGTAAGATAAGAGGGTTTTTCACCTGAGAAGACAAGTCTGACATTTCCACATTCCCTGAATCATGAAGAGTAACTGACTTCACACCACCCAGTACAACATTCTTAGCTGCAGATAACCAAATGGAAAAAATCACTGCCAGTAACAATATATCACTTAATAATACTAATGCTGTCAATCAAGTTGCTGTTACTCTGTTTTATTTATAAAATTGTAACATGAAACAAAAGAACACAAGACACTCATACCTGATTTTAAAAATTCAAACAAAGTTTAAATTTGAACCCTAACACATAACTGTATTTACTTTATTGTACATTTAAATCTATCATAACAGTTAAAAGACAAATTCTGCCGCAGTTTGGCTCACTACACAGTTCACCATTAACACAATACCATTAAATGAGGTTGCAATATTCTGGAAAGGCACATCAATGCCAACATGATATATTTGCATAGGGTTTCAATACATCAGGACTGCGACATAATGAATATCTTACCTATTTCCACTCCAAGACCTTTAAGACCTGAGATAAGAATATTAGAAGTGGCCATCTTTTTCATGGCTTCATGGCCAAGAACATATCTGAAAAAAAAAAAAGGCCTAATCAATTGATTGATTCTAAGTCCTGTAAGTGGTAGATATATATCCTCTAGAGTGAGAAAACCATTGTCCCATGGTCTTGGCAATGATGTTACCTCTCTAACTCATGACCAGCCAATATGATCACACCAGCTTCTGTTAATCAGTTCTCTTTGATTTTTCACTGACTTACCTATATATGCCCATTTTTGCTTAAACCAGACTATGTCTTAAGTATTAAGTATGAGTTAAGTATTAAGGGGGGATAATTTTTTAAAACCTGTGGAACTGTGTTGGTAGGAGGTATAACAATTTGTACAAGATAATGTGGTTTATCACCTTTGTTGATGATGAAAATTGGCCACCATAAAAAGGTTTTTAAAGCTGAGGTTTTGAGCATTAGCCCTTCATCTCAGTGATTTCCTCTGACAAAAGATAAACCCTTAAAACGTCAGTTTTAGAAACCTTTTACGTGGCCCACACTGAATTTTCAGCTAAGTTGACAGAACCAATTCATCTTTTAACCCTTTAACTCCCATAGGTGACCAAGACAGAATTTCTCCTCACAATATCAATACAATATCAACCAGATAAGTGATGAGAATAAAGGAAATATCAATTTGGGGATAATTAATTGATTCAATACTAAATTCTCTGAACTAACGTTATAAGAAGTGTATGGTTGACAGTAAGGAGAATGACAAATTTGATCTGGGAGTATAAGGGTTAACCAAGTAAACTGCGAATCAGAAAGGTTTACAAAGACTGGGACATGCTAGATGATGACAAGATGCTTTGTCAAGTTGAGAGGACCAGGAGCAGCAGTGATCTACAAAGATTGCAACAATGAAATGAGTTGAACTGCCTTGTTTGAGAGCATTGCACAGAACAAAGGAATCGGCTTTGTTGTCTCGTGCATGATAACCTGGGCTTAATGGTTGTAATTTGCGCACATGGCTCACACTATGAAGTGAAAGGGGCTAAACTTCAGAATACCCCGCAACTCTGGTCCGCCTCACTTACATGTGTCGGGAGGCTTTGAAGATCGAGGCATAACACAATAGACGCTATTCTTATTCAATGACATGTAAATGAGTTGCGGGGTATTCTGAAGTTGCTCCGTGAAAGGTTCTAAACTTCCTGATTCTTACCATACCAGGAGGCAAGGTTACACGCATATCACGCTGATTAACAAATAGTAAAAGTGGAAGCACACATGCATCAATTCCAAAAAAATTTAATCAAGTCACATGCTCAAAATTAAGTCTAATTTTTTAACAATAATTTCAAGGCATCAAGAACTAAAATGACCAACAAAGGCAGAGTGCCTGAGAAATTGGGAAAGGTACAGTTAGCACGTACGCGTACAGTTAAAGGAATTAGCAACATCGACATCTGCCTTTCCTGTGTGAAATTAGCCATATCATCAGAAGGATGATGTATTCAAACGTGGAAGCACAGACTAGAGGTTCATACTCACAGTTGACGGGAGTAAAGTCCCTCATCGATCTGCATTTGCCCATCCATATTCTCGTCTGACCTTGAGGTCTGCAAGTTAATTGAAACTGAAGTCATTCCGGGCAAAAAACACTCATAGCGCCTTTAAACACTGTGCACGCGGATCTCAGCGAAAACCGAAAAATGCAGATAAAAAAGTTTGGACTAAACTATAAACCACCTGATCTCCTGAGTGATTTTCGTGAGACACAGAGTTTGTTTCACCGTCCGAATTTGAAATTTTCCTTCTTTTCGCTGCTGGAGGCGTTGGGACCGTCTCCTGATCACAATTTGATGACATCTACTGCACTCATCAAACTAAATGGCAGTTCTTTCGTTATTGTTTTCTAGTCTTGTGACGTGTAGCTTTTTATGTTCTATTTTCACTTTAGTACAAGCCGAAAAATACCGGAAAAGTTCGCCAAGAAACTGACGTTTTCCAACGTGACTCACCCGAAATTGAAAGAATAGCCCTTACTTTGTAGCCAGGCCTTATGTAAGCTGTGGGACCACGCCATATTTTGAAGCTAATGACTTATTTGGCGACCATAGCGCTGACAAGGAGCCAAAATGACCCTGGGCTCGAGATTGGAAAATGATGTCACAAGAAAATGGCCTTTCTCGCGTTCTCTCAATATTTTCGTCTCTCTTTTTTTTTTTTAGAAGAAAAATCTTATGCTTTCTGAAAGGGAAAATCTGTATTAAATCGTCTTTGAACGGTACATTTATCAGACCTCAAAATTTGAGCGGACCTTTTATTGAGACCACGATCCTCAAAGCCAGCTGTTTCTATGGAAACAGCACCTAAGAAACGGCAGAGAAGAAACTTCATAGCAAACAGGGAGATTGAATGTTGATACTAACAAAAATAAGGCCTCTTAAGTCTTGAAATGTCTGCCCAAGAAGAAATTGGAGAGACCCAAGGTACTAATGATGGTAACAATGAAGGACAGAAGCCGCAAGAAGGTGAGCCACCGGGTGAAATCGCAGAAGAACCAACACAGGTCCTCGACCAAGATGGCGCGGGCGATGATATTAGTGTAGATCCTGCACAAGCCACTAACACGGTTAAAGAAGGTGATGATGAGATCGGAAAAGGTGATGAAAAAGAAGAGAAAGTTAAAGCCGTTGATACAAACGATGATCCTACAGATGCAAATCAAACGGAAGGAATGAAGGAAACTCCTGTTGAGGAAAAGACTGAAGAAAATAGTCGCAAAATGGAGGAAACTCCTATGTCTGTCGTTATTTCGGAACCGGATAAAGACGTGGAAACTCAAGAATCGAATGCTCAAACAGAAGGAAGGGAATCGCCTGTGGGTGACGCGGATGTTTCTTCTGCTAGCCCCGGAAAAGTGGAGGACAAAGTTGTCGAAACGAAATCGGAGAGTGAATCACCATTGGTTGCCCCACCGACTTCAAAAGCTGACAGGTCTGTAGACAGTGAAACACCGATGAAAGATACCAGAGACCAATTGGAATCCGGAGGAATAGCCAGGGATGGCTTCAGTGCAAATGGTTAGTGACTGTTTAATATAATATTTAAACTTTTTACAAGGGGACACGGGACAGTTTGAGTAATTAATTTGCATATACTGAGCAATATAGTGCCAGTAGTAAATGTACATGTACTGTAACAGTTTTTGGTGGAAAGGTGGCAGATGTATGGTTGTAACCATTAGTGATTTGTCTTTAAAGATTGGTGAGAGTGCTTTTTCTCTGACAAAGGGATAAGACAGGAAAGGCCAGCTCTAGAAACTTGTAGGGCTTGCCATTTCACAAGACCAACTCAGTTGAAAAAATCAAGTCATCTTGTAATACACTTTACCCCCGCCCCTCCAACCCTCAAGTGACACATTACCAAAATCTCTTTAGAAACTTACCCCCTGTATTCATTGGTGAGATTGGTGTACTTGTGATTAAATATAATTTGTATTCCTGGGCAGTTTGATAGCAAAAGCTGGTTTTGGGAAGGAGTGGTTTGACTCTTCTGACATCCATCAATATTATTTTACAGTACTATTATTAATTCATTTTTTAGAATCAAAATCATGGGCTTTCATATGCTACATATTGTAAGTGTATGGATGTGTATCCTGCAGCAATATTGAGCATGATGAAATAGCCAGAATTATAAAATTTTTCATGTTTATTTTTTCAGTGAAGTTTCTCATTATGCCGGAGGGTCATGTACAGAGCATGACTTGTTCATTAAAGCAGTCCTTCTTAGAGTTACGAAACCATTTTGCATCAGAATTTAGCCAGCCGCCACAGGCAATACTGATGATATTTGATGGTAAGTTACATTATTTTGGTTCTAAGTCCATGCAGCAATGGACCTTAATACTCTAACTGATTTACTATCCTACTAATTCACTTCAAGGCAAAATGGTGGAAGATCACACTGTGCTCTCAGATCTGGGTGTCCAAGCTGGGCAGACAGTGGAGGTGGAAATTCAGTCATCAGACCCTATCAATACACCTTTGCAGTACAAACAGTCATCACCAATGTACAAACTACCTGACAAAATTAATGTCAGGGTGGAAGTGGGTAAGTTTGCTAGCATTTTTTGTTCTGTTGATAATGTAAACTAAAGTTGTAATATCTTACTATGTACAGTACGTAAAGTACATAGGCGCAGGAAGAATATACCTTATAAACTCTTTCATGTTGTTCTATGTAAAATGATTGATTTTCCTTTACCCTTGGACCCCTAAGAATGACCAGCATCTAATTCCTCTTTACAATATCACCCCTACATTAAACTTTTAGGTCACAAGAAAAAAGGAAAATTTAAGAAAATAAATGACGCTTTTTAAAAACATGTTTCAACAGTTCTTCTGTCATCTTCAGTTCAGATTCATACAAAGTACAAAGTTGAATTTAAATTATTTAACAAAATGCTGATTGGAGAAAACAAATGATAGTAACAAAACAATGGATGCATTTACAAGGAAAGTTTTTAATTAAAATCATGATGATAAAGTTGATGATTAAGTGTAGGTTGCTCCATTGAATGTGGATAGCTGCTTTGATTTTGTGTTGGAAAGTCATGGAAGTGTATTCTTAGAACAGGCAAAAAACATTCAAAGATCTTGTGTGCGCGTTCAGGCCATCTATCTCTGAGGTGTACTGTATTTCATTGACCTTCTGTGTTTTTTCCTTTTTTTTCAGGTGGAAAGGAGGTTGAGCTTGTGGTTCATATTGTCCAAGAGAACAGGAAAAAACCATTCTTGGGAGGCTACAGACACAGACTGACAGGGACAGAGTTCCACAATGCAGCTGCACAAACTTTACCAAAGATCCGTGTGCCTTCATCTGTTGAGAAGTTTCATCGAGACACACAAACATACAAATTGAGAAACAGACTTCAGCAGACCACAAATACAACATCCACACAAATGGTAACATTCTCGGAAATCTCTACTTTGGAAGTACATCTATCAATTATAATGCTTCAGTCTGTTGTCAAATTCCCTTCTGTGACATTTTTCTTCTGCATGTAGACTCTTCTACAGCTGTGGGTTTAAATGTGTCAGACAACAATTTAGTATCAACTGGGATTCAGGTTTGTGGAATGAGTATTAACACAATTTCTCCTTCTTATCTTAGACCAAGGATGGCTGTTATGTATCAAATGTCACAGATAAAATACTGATTCCTGGGAAATATGAAACAGCCGACCAATACCACGGGAAGATATTAAAGAAAGTATGTAAATGAGCGCACATTACATTAAGAAATGATTCCCCTGTTTGCAGTCATATCTCTTGAGTTAAAGATAAACATACTTTTTTTTCTACTTAATCTTCTGCAGGGACATTTTCATAACTTGATTAAAAAAAAAGAGAACTATTAACTCTTTAAAAACTAAGGAATAATTATCACAATCCTCTAAGAGCTTAACAGGATACTTTTTGTTGTTGTTGTTGTTTAGCTTTTGAAAGTTAAAGATAGTTTGGTATTTCACCACTGTCAGAAATGACTTTTCCTTAGTTGGTGATCATACCAACAGAGAGTATTATCTGGGTTTTAGGGATCAGATCTCTGTCTAAATTTCCATGGCCAGAGCTCTTACCTTATTCTGAAGAGCAGAAAATTCTCCTGATACTTTGCACTATTCTATCACTTCTGCATTTCTTTATGCATTTAATTGTGCCATTTATCTAACAAGTTTCAGAATACCCTATTACTCATCATCTTCCCAGTAAATTGCATTATTTTATAACCATGCAACATGAATCTTGATCAAGGTTGACCTAAGTTTGCTTTTGATTTCCAGGTCATTGTCCTTCAAACTTATTGGAGGAGATGGCTAGCCAAGAATTATGTTCAGCGGTTAAGAGAAGATCGCTTGAGACGTATGGAGTGGGAAAGACAAGAGGAGCTCAGAAAACAGAAAGAAAGAGCTGAAAGGATTAAGAGAGAGTGGGAAAGGAGAATGAATCCCAAGACCAAAGAAGATTTTGATCTCCTATATGCTCATTTAGAAAGTGAGTATATTTTTATACGTAACTGAGACAAGCTGTAGGTCATGGTTCTTTTTTAAGAACATCTCAGTTCAAAATCCTTATGGTGAATAAGTAAAAACCAAAATATTTCTTGCTATTCATGAAGGCAAAAAGGGAATGACAGAAAGGGAAAAAAAACAACAAAAACACGAACAAACCAAAGAAAAAAAGAAAATCGGAAGAAAAGATATGAGGGAATTCCTTAAGTCGAAAACGTATTTCCAAAGTAACCAAGAAACGGAAAAATCAAAAAACTAAATACCTCAGCTCCCTTTTCTTGTATAGGATTATCCTTACCTGTGAGTTTACCTTTATTCTGTCTTGACTTTCTGAGAGAGAAAATTCGAGTCGTGAAAAGAGAAATGAAACTCTGCAATCTTGCATCAATTAAAACAGCTTAGAGTGGTGCTTACAGCTGAGTCAGGTAATTCTTGGAAGTTTATGTTACTTTTATTGTGTGGTTGAAACACGGAAATGTTTTATTTGTTTAGAATGGCGTAATGAAGAGATGGCGTTGATAGATGAGTTGTACTCAGGTCCAGAGAGGAAAGCAGCTCTTGTAGGACTTTTGGAACAAGAAGCCTACCTTATTGCCTCCATTGATCGGCATAAACTGGTTGCTGATGAAGAAAACAACGACAAAAGGATCAAGAACTTCTTGAACAAGGTTTGTCGAAGTTTGTGCCTCATTACTGCTTTCAAGTCCAGGGCGATCTGATAGTGTTAATCGATGATTCAACATCGTGGCCCGGTTTTCTGTTGCTTTGGTCCTCTGTTGACTTAATGCCAAACTGAACGAACTAAACTGAGCCAATATGCACTGGAAACATTTGAACACAGGACAACCCACCGTGATTTTTTTCTTAAATCAACCATGCCGAAAATAACAGCTTGTTTTTTTGTCGTAACAGGCTGCTGCCCCCAAAAAGTGGAAAGCTTTCGACGGTAAAGTTACTGAAATGGACACACCATACACCATCCGCGCTCAAGAGTTACGGGACATTTACAGCACGCTGAGCATGAAGTACCTCACCCAAGATGAGAGATTGGACGTACTGCTGACCCTCAAACACACTGTAAAGGAGCATGACTGCAAACTGACACAAGAGATAATTGAACTGATCGATAGAGAAGCTGATTTGCTGATGCGAGGAGTCAAGGAATCAAATTTAGAAGGTAGATACATGTAGGCTAAGTGATGTTGGTTTTGAGTATGAGGTAAGTTAGAATATTGCTAATCCCTTGGGTGGAATGGTACTGCATGTACTTGTAGCATATTCCATTGTGGATACCTCAAGCATTTCTTGAAAAGTTCAGAATTTTCGATGCGGAGACTTAAATTTTAAAAAAAAACTTCACCCTTAAGTACCTGTGCTTCCGTTAACAACTTTCACCAGTGAAGCGCGAGCAAGGCGTGGCAGTATTGTTATTGTTTTAGGAAATTCGAGTTCTGTTCTCAAAAAGCCATTATAGTTCTAAGTTCAACAATTTGTTTCTCACGTTTCTTGTATAATATTTTCTTGATTGTGCGAATTTGAACCTTTATCTTTTACAGGTTTACGCAAGAGAATATTAACCCTTTTTCTTCAGTACTGCAAAACGCCTCTCTTTAACCCAGAAGCGGCCCGACTGATCAAGGTATGTGATTGAAAAGCTTTTATTTCCCAGAAAGCTCAGTACCAGTTTTCTAGAATGATTTCATAAATTCGACTACTAGTTCCTTCCAGGCAATCACAACGAAGACCAAACCAAATGCAGATCATTTTTCGAGTTCATTTAATTGGAGAAAAAGGCCTTAAAAATGTTTTTTTTGCTCTCAAAATGTGTAAAATAGGAAGCGCAGGAAGATGTTGGTTCTGGCCAATTCTCGATTCATTTTTGCAAAGCTTTCTGTAATTTCACTAAATGCAGTGTGATTAATTAATTAGTTATCTTTTTAGTTGAAACTGAACTGTTTAACTTTCATAAACTTGGTATTGATTTTTTTCGCTATAAGCCCACAGGACACCGCTTTTGTTCTTGTTTGTTAGCCTGGTTTGCACGGCTGTTTGGAACCAAAATAATGTAAATAGATAGCTTATAGTATCCAAGATACTTTTTTTTGCCTCGATTAGTTTATTGACCCGTTGTTGTTCTGTTTGTTCTCAGGTTCCGCAAGATCCTGCCGTATTACGGAAAAATATCTACTTCTGCCCAAGCTGCAATTCGTATTTACCTTCCACTGAGTTTCAGCTGTCGTCAAATTCCAAGTAAGGCCATTATGTCTCTGTCGCTTATATACAATTTGAATAATTTCTAATTGAGTGTTGAAACATATCTAGAGTTGCACAAGTTTTGCCTTTGTAAGGCTTTGGGAATGACTCCAAAAACAAACTTGCTCCAATTTTTAAACTTTAAACCCGTAAGAGTGACCAGCATCTAAGTTCTCCTTACATTTTCGCCCCTGAAAAGCTCATCAAGGTCACAGACCAACTAAAGAAGCTCTTGATTGTTAAACAAATTCTCCCTTCAGCATTTAAGAAAATGTATAGAGAAACAGTATGGAGAATATGCACACTGATGTTGGGGTGTAAAGGGTTCAATCGATCAGATAGATACAGAAGTAAAACTAATCGGTATTTAGTGGAAGGGAAGGGTGGTGAAAAAAGTTTGATTTTTTTCATTCTTTAGCTTTTATTTACCTCTTGTTCTTCTTCCTTTATTGCCCAACTTCTTTCTGTAAATAACACTTATGGGAAATCTTTTATAATGTATAAACAATAACAAGGCTAGACCACAACTCCAGGAGGTATATTCTCCTTCTCTTTGCGAGAAGTGCGTGGGTTTTTTAATGTCTCCTGCAAATAAGTGTAGAGAAGATGTAGGAGACATACTGACAGAGCCTACAGTTTATCATCCCTATCCAAAAAGAGTAGAATGTCCTATAATTTGCAGATGTCATTGCAAAAGAAGCGCATTATCCTCAGGTATTTTAAGACGCTGAGTGTTGGTCCGGTCTGGGGCTTGAACTCTTGATGCAAGCGAGGTTTACAGATATTGTATCATCACGTCACCATTATGTGAACTAACCGGTAAATCCACCTTTTTTCGGTACATAGGGTTGTCGGAAGGTGTAGAAAGTGCACGAAACTTGATAACGACGCCAGGCTCAGACACGAGTTGTCACAATATCGAATCATGCTGAAGGATCTCAGACGTTCTGAGGAAAACGTTGGAGACGGCTCTAAGATCGCCTACCTGCTGCAGGTATAGAAAACTTTCAACTTACCGCGTATGATAACAGTTTCAACGTGAGAAATTCATAACCACATGTAGGTAACCGCAAACAGCAAGAATTGGACTCGCTTTCTGCCTTTCATCCGTCTTTGCTGCGTTTCTTTTTTAGTTCACATAAAAAACGAAACGAGTTTTGCAGGCTTCGAACGCCTGTTTTCTTAGAGTCTTAATGAGGCTAACCGTTTGGCCCGTTTAAGACGGCAAAAAAAAAAATTTAGCCGTTAGGCATAAAATTGACAAATTTAAGCATTAGTCATAAAAAAACGATAACCGTAAAAAAATTTCTTTTAATCGTAACGGAAGGAAATTAACCGTTAGCCATAAAAGCCATTGCCCCATTAAGACCCACTTTTTCTACCTGGATCCAATTTTTCTTTCTTCCGCATTGCCACATTCCCGCCTAATCTCGCAAAGCTTTTCACAGACTAGGACCTACGTTTTGCTCTATTATCAATTCACTGTCTCTATCATATTATCAAGGGATATGTGGATCCACTTTCTTTGTTAGTCAACTTGAGTTATGTCACGAGACTTGACTCGTGAAGCCGAAAGTTTGAAGAACTTGCCTGTTTATGGTCTTCATAGTGCTAGTTACAGATTTCTCGATGTAATCCCAAAAGAGAATAACGCTTCTTGTCTATATTCTTTTTCCTCAGGAGCCCGACCTTCGCTATTTAGTAGAGAACATTTGGAACAGTCAGAGCGTGTTGAGCGCTCATGAAGATCTGTTTGACTTAGTGCTAGTTCGGTGGAAAAAATACGAGGAATGGTCACCATGGAACTGTATTTTACTCACGAAAGAAGAGGCTTCAGCTCATGCGAAACTTGAAAACGTCACTGAGGTAGTACATGCTATTGTTATTTTACTGCTGTTTTTTACTGTCGTTTCTGTTATGATTTAGTTAAGCAAAGAAATGGTTCACGCAGGTGGATTGCAAATTTAGCAATTGCAGAAAGGAAGCTTAAAAAAAATGTAAGGCTTTGACCAGATTCGAACCTATGATCGTAGTTTCCATGGACTTTTTAGATCCCCATGCCAGATTCACGCAGATGCGTGCACTCTTATCAGCCAGTCAGATGCAAAACCATTACCAACTGGTATTCAGCGTTTCTCGTGAATGATGCTTCACAGAAAAACTGTCGCGGTCTCTTGTTAGGGAAAACTTGTCGGGGTAGAAATTTCTTTCAACTCTTCTTCATTTCTTTTCCTAACGCCAGCAAATTTTGAGGTAAATTTTTTTGTGACAGTTTCCCTTTTTTTTTAAAACTGATATGTCGATTTTTGGAGAAGGAGATAATCTGAGGTGTCAGCAGTCCTGGGGAGTGGGTGTTGATGTTGATTTCTCTTAATAAATTCACTTTTCTGGAAGTTTTAGCTCTCTCATAGTAACTTTGTATTTCTCGTTTACAGGCTTACGGCCGAATGTTTATCGGCAAGATTCTTCACAAGCATGTCCTTGCAAGGAACTACTTTTCACGTCTACCTGGAATGGCTGAACATATGAAGAAAATTTCTGGACAGAACAGAGGAACTGGGAATAATGGATTGAGGGCAGCTTCACTGAAGGCTTGAGTGTAGTGGATGAACTTACCTACCCAGATGTTCGTTGCCTTAAAATTTTAATTGCAGAAAAGTTTTAAATCTACTTCCCTTGGATGGGAAATTTTAGGTTTATAAAGGAATGTTTTTCACTGTTGTGAATAGATTATATATTTTTTATTTTTTTCTCGGGAAATGTAATAAAGTCTTCTCATTGCTGTGTTGTACATAGACAGTTAGAAACATTAACAATGTCAAACTTTACTTGTCAGCACTTTTCCTGCCACTCTTTAGCGGTTCATCGCAGTAGCCTTTGTTGCCTGAGTGTTAGCGTCTGCGGGAAACCAAGGGAAATTTTTTATTTGAATGATTTTCATATTGAGTGGCTAAAGGCGGATCTGGAAGAATTGTAAGGCGACGTTTTTCGCACTGTGACTAAACTTTTGCAAGGAGGCATCACGTGGCTTGCGAGAAAAGAAACTCGTCACACGAGGGCCTGCTTCGATGGACTCATTTCAGACGTCACGGACCAACAACTCAGCTTGGTTCCAACAGAAGTTTATTCTAGTTTGAGTCTAAATCTGACATCAACTGTGGCGCATTCACCACTGTAAACCCGGATGTAATCTCAACATAGTCATCCATGTATTCATCACACAGTGGTGAATACAATTAAGCTAACTTACGAACGCGATTTCAGCTGCACACTGACTTCCCAGAGAACTGCAATTTCCAGGAAAGGTCGTTACTAAAAATCACTATTTGACGATGATCAACTCGGGGGGCCGATGTACAAGTGTACAAAGTTGGTAATTGAAAGCAACTACTGTTGGCTTTTGTATCTTTAAAATTCTAAAAAGAAAGATTCTCAAGCGAATTGAGTACAGCTAAAATACTGAAAAAACTAACAAGTAAATGTGTTTCAGAAACACACGGAAAAATCACTTAGTTTTCCCGTAACAGTCTTTCCATTTCCATAAGGGTCGAAATTTACGGATTATATATTTAACGACCCGTGATATTTATTAAATTTTAAGTAATCGACGATAGGAAAAGTTACCAATATTAGCCGGAAAAAGGTTATACATTGGGTAATACCTAACAACTTTTGTTTCAAAAAGCTAGAAAGTGTATGAAAGAGTTTTCCTCCACTAAATCTGCTATAAGAACTCTAATAATGTAAATACATTCAGTTTTTAAAACCCTTGACAGAATTTTTAAAATAGTATAATAC